GTTGTAATAATATTGTTATATCATGACTGTATCGGACTTGTTGGAACAACCTTGCAACAAGTCTGATAATATCAACAAGGTTGTTACAAGTTGTTAACAGTTTCTTCCAAACTTGTTGACAATTTGGGACAAGCAGTGCGAAGACAACTTGTTGGCAGACTTGCTACAAGATGTGAGACTTTTACGTGCTGTGTATATACTCAGCAGCTGGCACATGCGTATAACACGTGGACTTTAATGTGCATATTTTGAACAAACGCTCCACGTATGTATATGTACGACAGAAGATGTGGATTAACTTAACATGATAAAAGTAAACTAATAGTTATCAACTATCATTATTAATATTAATAAAACATACCAAAGTCCAGTGTCAGTGTAGCAAGTATTAAACGACATAAAACTGTGAGCCAAATTGTGTTCAGAGACATCCTAAAACATAAACAATTACTGCTTTAGACAATCGATGAAGATGGCCCTACTCCATGTCTTCGGATAAAATAAATGAAAGTGCTTTATAAAATATTGATTATCTACTACCTGTGCAAGTTTACTAGAAACATTATGTGCTCCACTGAAGGATCGATCCCAGTTGCCTACCAACTAAAAACAAAATGGTTTGTTTGCTTTCTGAATCGAGTGATAGATCATGCACTGATAATTTCACCAGCAAATACGAACTTACCACATTAGCAACCATAAGAGCAAAATAATCTGGATGAGTCCATCCACAGCCTTCAACCGCCATGGCAATGTGAGCAAATGGCATATCATCATTACGTATACGGATCTAAACAAACAGACAAATGAATGAAACCATAGTTAAAGTGTGACTAACCCAAAATGTAATTTTTTCTGTGTGTAATACTTGGGTCATTCTGAGAAGAAATGTAATATATATATTTACAGTAAAAAACCTCATCTTGATCAACTTTTTAACTGTCAAAGTTTCCGGATATGATGTCATTAGGTGAATTTTCGGTACAAAAAAAAACAAAGGGAAACTAATTTGCAATTCACCTAATGACATCATATCCGTAAACTTTGACAGAGAAAAAATTGATCAAGATGGGATTTTTTATTATAAAGATGTAAACCATTTTTGTTCGAATGACCCAAATATTACACATACCAAAAAATTGCTTTTGTGGTTTGTCGCGCTTTAACAGAATAGATGGTTTGGAAACTCATTAGAATAACAATCTAACTCCTTATCTATGTTAGTCAACGTTTATTCATAAATCTGGTCCTTCACCATCACGTGCGTATTGTATTTTTGCCCAAATAACCAATAGGAGGGAGTTACCTATTAGTGACTCGAACAATAGGGTAAATTAGATATTGCAATAGACGATTCCTCTTATTACGTTTTCGTAGCGCTTTGCATTGTGGTTATAGTGGTATCACTGACATTCAAGATGGCTTATTTTTTGTCCTGACCCGTGCAAGAACTATTAAAAAAAGCTAGGGTCAGGTGCGTGATAGCCAACAGCAAAATATTCGCGAAAACATTCAATATTTTCATTCGAGGCCGCTATCTTTATCAGTGATACCATTATAACCACAATGCAAAGCGCCACGAAAACGTAATAAGGCGAATCGTCTATTGGTGGATTTAGCAAAAATACAATACGCACGTGACGGTGAAGGACCATGTTTATGAATAAATGTTGACTAACATAGATAACGAGTTATATTGTTATTCTAATGAGTTTTCCAAACCATCTATTCTATTAACTATGATGAAACAGGTACACACGTAAAAATGCACAAGTTGTTGTGGAGATCTGCTTAAGTTTCCAAAACATCAGCAATTTCCCAACCTCACTGCCAGTAAATCTGCAAGGTTCAGGAACATCCGTCTCTTCATACGTTGATCTCAGTCCACTGAATTGCTTCTCAGCTAACTTCACTAACTCATCATGATCAACTCCTGCACAATACAAACAGTCAAACCCTGTTACCACACCCATTTTATGTAGACATGCATCTAGCTCCACACACAACACTTAGGCAGACAAATTTACAACAAGGCCAGATTTTGGTGGAAATAGTAAGGGAAGTGGAAAACAATTAGGGGAGGTGCAGCGCGGTCCCCCATGGAAAGTTTATTGTAGAACGGGCCAAAGTCGACGACCTGACGCATGCATGTAGTGTACATATGTATCAGTGTATTAATAAATTATGTTCTTTGTACTGTAGGTTTGCATGGTGATAAAACATATAATACTTTTTGTTTGTGGAAACACCGCGTAAATTTATTACTGCAGTAATAAATTTACGTGGTGTTTCCACAAACAAAAAGTATTAATAAATTATGACTGTACGATACATCCAATTTTGCTTTTCCTTACAATTACTACAAAGTTTCTTTCAAAACATTGCATTAAAAGGGTACCTGGAACAAAAAGGGTATTTTTTAACAGAGATGAAAGGCTATCACTGTTTCAATTTTACACAAAAACTTTCTTACGAAGTGTAGATGCTAAGCAACCAAAAAATGTCAAACTTTCACTTTGATCTATCATTGAAACTTTCCCAAGGGGAGGTGTATGACTTTTCAGAGGAGGTGTAAAAATTCTCAGAGGAAGTGCAAAACAATCTCAGGGGAGGTGCGAACCTCCACACACCTCCCCTCAAAATCCGGCCATGATTTACAAGCTCCAGAAGATCCACAACGTCAGTAATGAATAGACCGAATAGGAATTCCAATGTACAACTTTGTGGATGTATGAAGAATAAGGGAGTTGAAGCATTATATTGGGTGGTAAATAAAAACTGACCTCCTGCGGCAGCCAGCACCATTCTGGGTGCACTGTAATGTTTATTAATGTATGCTAACAGATCGTCTCGTTTTATACTCCTGCAACAAATAACACAAGCAAAGTTACTTTGAAACATACCTTTGGAGGTACTGGTAGCCAATATTCGAATGGAACTCAGTCTATGCTGTTTCAGCCACTGATGTGAAATGAGACAGTCAATGCTCTATCAAAAGGCACCAACTTTCTCTGGGTAGACATTGGGATTAGCCCTTAACCTAGCCCCTCCATCCTAGCTGTGCTCCATAATCAGACATGTGTCATGACTGCCAGAGGGACTATAGAAAGCCTTCGACTCAATCAGGTTGACCTGCATCCTTCGTAAGTCAGCTTTGCTTTTACAGTGAAAATACAAAAAGTGTCCCACTTCCGCTTCGGTACTTTGTTGTGATTTACTGTAATTTGTTCTGTACATAGCGATTACCGATGTTGTTTCTGTAACGATTACCGATTTAACGGCAAAGACTGCGATAAAATTTAAATTTCGTACCTTTTATGCAATGAAACTAACAAAAAATGTATTATTTCCCTTTGCTACAAATTATCATATTTAAAAATAGAGAAAACTAAGTTTTATCGCGGTATTTGCCAATAAATTTGTAATCGCTACTAAAAAACAGAACAAATTACAGTGAATCACAACAATAAGTTCTTTGTATGTTTGCATGGCGATAAAACATATAATAGTTTTGTTTGTGGAAACACCACGTAAATTTATTATTACATATTATTAGCACTGAGGGTTTACGGATCGAAAGCTTTGCAGTAATAAATTTACGTGGTGTTTCCAAAAACAAAACTATTATATGAATCACAACAAACTAGAGAAGCGGAAGTGGGATACTTTTTGTATTTTCACTGTAACTGCAAATAAGGATGATTAGTGCACACTCCCACCTACTTAGTAGAGTAAACCATAAAGTAATCATGTTAGTTTGAAAAACAAGCTGGTTATCATTATCATACTTGATATTTTCTGTTGGTCCCAGAATTGTTCTTCCTAATGCTGTTCCTTGATATGCTGTTGCATGAAGATGATCAAATATGACTTCTTCTAGTTGAGAGTCTACTTCCTAAAATTTCAAGGATGCGTCATTGCGTTTGCCCGGCAGCTAAAACATGACCAATGTCTCATAATTCAGAGTGTTCGCTCCAAGTACTGACCTGCATTTCACGTAAGATAACACCTCGCTCTCTCTCAATTTCCTGTTCACCCAGTTTAGAATGCTGAATAATGTCAGCTAGGATATCAACAGCTACACAAAACAAATGTACAACTTACAATGAAGCCATTATGTAGGACCACGCCTTGCCCAAAAAGGAGCTTGTTGGAGCACGTGCTTACCACATACATAGAGCAGGCAGTGGACTCTTGTTTAAGTAGGGGCTTGGAAAAAAGTGCTGAGGATCAGTATGTACCAAGCACTGGCATGGCCTGTAGGACACCTAAATGTACACCTATACAATTTCAAAGTCATCAAGGGATAAAGGAATACCGAACGGTTTTCCGTGCAGGATTGCGTGATCCATGCACGAGGGATGTCGCGAGACTTTCGGAAAGCGTAAAAATACGCGAGTGTATTTTTACGCTTTCCGAAAGTCGAGGAACATCCCAAGTACATGGATCATGCTACCCTGCTTGGAAAACCATTTGGTAATTGTTTTATAAAATATCTACAGTGAAACAATGACATTTTGAGAATCCCGCAAAAATCCCGCGAAGGCATTTTAATTCCTCGTGCAGGATATAACCGGGCCATAACCTTGTGCAGGATATAACCAGGCTATTGGCCAATCAAATTGCGTGTTTCACTGTGGTTATTTTATAAAGCCTTGTGTTTAATGGGTGAACCAAACATCTTATCCTTGTCTTTTCGAAACCTTTTATTCTTATACAGGGCAGAAAAGAATTTTCTTCCTGGGATCACACTAGGAGATAAAAATTTCCTGCACACCAACTGAATATTTAAACATTTTTGTGCCAGGTGGCAAGTGAAATGGTGAAGTCAGTGGAAAACGGGCTTAAGCAAGCATGTTAATTTTGGCTTGGAAATAAGTATGGAAGAAACAAATGATTTAAATTAATATCTTCACAACATTTACCGTTAAGAATAAATGTGCTGATATTAATGTGTGTCATTCAGACTTATTTCCGAGTCAAAACTGAACTGAAGGTCATTGGACATACATGTCCAACCCAAACTCAAAGTCATTGGCTATTTTGTCAGATGGCCCTGTAAAAAAAAATTTAAGGCCTGCAAGACAATTACTTGTCAATGAGAGACTCAAGATTAAAGAACAATTATATATTAAAACCCATTGAGTTGCATTGCACCCCAAAGCGGCCTCCTTTACCATTTCACTCTGTCTAACGCCAGACAATCTTACTTGTCAAGGGGAGAGCGCTGGTCAATAAACTATATAGAGAATAATAATACATGGGTGCTTGGAAACACAAGATTTATTTCAAGAACATGACATCGTTGAACATGACATCGCAAGAGTGAGCGTAGCGAACAAGTAGGATATCATGTTCAACACGAGAAATAAATCTGGTATTTACAAGCACCCATGTATTTTTCTGTTTATTATATAAAGGACAGTCTTTGAAAAGCGATAATTATAACAGAAAAGCGACAATTCAAAAGCGATAATTTTCACATGTGAAATGATCAAATCTCACATGTGAGATTATCAGTTTTATCAGTGCTCAAAATCTCCATAAAGCAGTATACTTTATATAATAAATCTCAATAAACTATATCTCTGTGTCAGGCAGGGGACAATAACCAACCTTGGGCCATATCTTTCCTGAAAGATTTGGCATAATACACTGTTTGTTCTCGGGACGTGTAGGCATTTAGGTGGGCTCCGGCATTCTCCACCTCAAGCTCTAGCTGTAACTGTGTCCGTCGTTTTGTTCCTTTGAATGCCATGTGTTCCAGGAAATGTGCAACACCATTGTTTTCCTCTGTTTCAAATCTACTGCCTGCATCTATCCATAAACCAACCTGAAAATAGAATCATTTTGCACTTGGTACACAAGAATCTTAAAAATGGGTAGTGACTGACCGATTGTGCGACAATCTACCAGATACCAAAAGACAACTTGCATGTTAGACTAATTTTTGATCTAGACAAAAAAGTAAATTCCCGTAAAGAACTTATTAGAATTAGTAAAATTGCAAAATTTGGTTACGAAATGTTGTAAAATACGGAAAATATAGCCTTGCGAAATTTGCATATTTTCAGTATGTTTGTATTACGTGCAGAAATTGTTACCATTTTTGAGCTGAAAATGGTAACAATTTCAGTACATAATACAAACATACGTACTGAAAATTTGCAAACTTTGTGAGACTATATTTTCCGAGCGTTACAACATTTTGCAACCAAATTTTGTAATTTTACTAATTTCATAATGTTCTTTTTAGCTGTGGTGTTTGATTTCCTTGTCTTTACTTAGATTAAAATTTAGTCTAACATGCAAGTTGTCCATTTTATAATGTCATAATATCAGTCGACCGAGTAAAGGTGACGTCATTCATGTCAATTTTTTAACAATAATTTCCAACGTAAAATGTTACCACAACCAATGATCGTTAAAACCGTTAATAAATGGCAGTGTATATAATTTTTAAAGTGCATAATGTCTCAACAATCGGTTTTAGACAATGGGTCATTCCAGAAAACATCCATGCCACCCCCACGGAGGAAATAGGAAGTTAACCCCCCTGCCCCCTTCGAATGTCCTAATACATTTACTATTATCAGAAACAATTTTTTCTCCCCTCCCCCTCCGGACGGCAGAAATTTCCTCCGTGGGGGGAGTATGGATCTTTTCTGGAACGACCCAATCGGAAATATAGATAATTCTACTGATTCCAATTGTCTACTGCTAAGACAAAAATTGGCCCGATGCTAATTATCGTCAATCACTAAAAATGAGATGAATGCCAGGAAAAGGTGAATTTTTCAACAAGGGCATAGTTTTCTAAGGGGACACAAAATTATATTTAGGGATTTTTAGGGGAATTAGATTTTCAAGCAAGTATCATTGGAGGGGGTAGCAGATTTTTCAGGGGGAAATCAGATTTTCAATTTTAGGATCTTTTAGGGGGATCAGATTTTCAATTTTAGGGGGTTCAGATTTTAGATGGAAACTGGTTTTTTGTGGGGACATATATTTTCAAGGTGGTATAGATTTTTCAAAGAGGAGATTTTATAAACAGGTTCAGGACGTTTTATAAACAGGTTCAGAGTTATGACTATTTTGGTTTTTGGGTTAGGACTATCTACACAATCTCTTTTTCAAGTTTCAAAGAAACATCCACCATTTTTTCTTAGCCTGGCTTTTTACGTTAATATAGCAATCATATTCACTTGGGTGAGTTTGGGCATGTGCTGACAAGCTCAAAATTAATAGAAATGTGTCATATGAAAGACTTACTGTTGATGTTGGAATGCCAGAATTTTCAGTTGCCACTTTCAAACCATTTGGCAGAGTTGTAACTTTAGTTTCTGGGACATTATATAGTGACTATGTAAAATACCAGCACACAAATATTAACAAATAGAGGGGAGGGCAAACAGGGGCAGGTGCAAGCTGGGAGAGGGGGTGTGCCCATAGGCATAAGATATGCAGTGGCATAACGTTATATCAGGGGGGCCCCGGTTCAAAATTTTCGAAGGTCCCCTAGAAGAAGTGCCAAAGGCACGAGTTGAACGCCGTATATGCACAAATTTTCTAGGGGAACGCCGTATACGCACAAATTTTTGAATCTCGAGCCTCTGAAATGCCATTTCCCAGACTTTGGGGAGAGATTTTACAGAATTCTGATGGTCAGAAAACGACATTGTGACATATCAGAGGCCCTGGCCAATGTTTTTGCTCTACAGCCTGAGTCTGGCTGCCCCCATTTCGCCCATTCGGGCTGGGGCCCCCCGGTCCAAGCCCATAGTAGCTACGCCACTGAAGATATGCATGTCACTAAAACTCTCACAAGTGCATTTTTAATTTGCAAATTTGGAAGGTCTGAGACCTAAATGCTTGACAAGATCACAAACAATTGCATTTAAGATTGTAACTGATGGTACATGGTTTGCACTTTGGAGTGTTCAAATAAAGTTAGACATATAAAATAGTTGTTTCACTTGTTTGCACTTTGATCTGTATTTGACCGAATATTGGTTGACAAATGACAAACAACTATTTCATTAAATACCAATAAAATTCACCACTTTGCTAATATAATACATTCAATAACAATGCATTTTATCAAAAGACTATTGTACTGTACTCAATATAAATATTTATACCTCTTGATAAGCTGTTGAAGTGCCAAAACACCGTGCGAGGGTGGCCTGGAAAAAGTAAACAAAAACACACTTTTAGACCAATTTGAAATGCCCTAGACACAGAACGATATCCCAGATTATCATAAATATATTTTAACGCACCTTTGAGCTTTTACGAAGCAAAGAAGCTGCAGAAATGCTTCGCAAAATGGGAATTTTCGACGCCATTTTTTTCGGAGAGCAAGAAGAAAGACTGGGCATTAGTCGTGTCCAGGCGCGCGCGGTTGCACACGCTGACCAACAATTTTCAAAAATTCGCCGACTCATTTCACCACATTTCCCTATAAAACTTTACAAAGTTTTGCTAAATTTTCACAAATATTTCCAACCGATTATGTTCTTAACACGTTCAGAATACGACAGGTAGGTTCAGGTTTCCTTTTGTAAAGTTTTAGCGCATAATCTTATTTAAAGCTGATTTTTTGGCGTCTTTTTTCGCAGAGGAGTGAACACGTTCTCGCCTGAAGGCAGGCTGTTCCAAGTGGAATACGCCATAGAAGCTATAAAGGTTAGATTTTGAAAACTCGCTGAGGAAACGATGATAGAAAGATGTTGTAAATAATTCACAATATTCATTATTCAAATCAATGTACAATGTGGTCAAATGCCAAATGGGCTTTTGAAACAAGTATGTTGTTGCAAGGCTTGTGGGAGGCCATAGAAACTGTATGATAGTATATGCACATGTGTACTACATTACTTAGATTTCAAGATGTGCCGATCATTCCACCAATCATTAACTACTGTATAATAATCAGCAAACGGTTGATTATTCATTAATAATCAACCATTTGCTGAAGAGAAATTGATTCGTTAGGGCTGATTAATTAATTGGCTTGTCTCTGCAGAATAATCAGTTTCCTTAGCCTCCCACAAGTCTTGCATCAGACAATATGCTACAAATACCCATTTGACCACATTATGAACTGATTTGAATATGTGTGAGTAGGGGGTGTGCCGGAACTCGGTTCTGGCTGGTTAGTTCCAGTCGGAACCCCAATTTTCAGAGTTTCGATTTTGGCCAGAACTAATTGCACTACATTTCATAATTTCTAGCTTGGGTCAACTGCTATTGGTATACAAACATCCGAGGGTGTTGTTTTGGCCGTCGAAAAGAGAATTACCTCACCATTAATGGAAGCATCTAGTATAGAGAAAATTATTGAAATAGATAATCATATAGGTTAGTCTGATTTAAATTGTTTTACTGATACACATTGAATCACACCACTATCCTTCTTGTAACCATTGTCAACACAGCCATCATTACCACCATCTTTACAACTGCCATCACTCTCACCATCATCACCAATATCTTCATCACTCGGGACCATCATCATCACCATGAATATCATCATCACCACCACCATCATCATCACAACCATCATCTTGATCATCATCACCAATATCTTTATCACTCCCACCATCATCACCACCCCAACTGCCATGACAACCACCATCACAATAACCATCATCACAACCATCACCACCAATATTATCGCTCCCACGACTGTCCTCATTGTCACCACCATCATTACCACCACCATGATTACCATCATCACCAATACATCATCACCATGTCTCCCTCCATCACCACCACAACTATCACTATCAATATTATCATTAAGCCTTTAAGCAGCAATGTACCCTGAGTCCCTGATGCATCCTACTTTAGTATTTTACTCTGTCTAACACCAGACGATTTTATTCATCAAGTGGAGAGTGCTGCCATTCAATGGGTTAACATTACAATGTACCAAATCAGTCCAAATTTAAGTAAGCCAAAACTTTACATATTCACCAGGTTGTGCTGTCAGTGGTCTTATAGCAGATTCCAGAACTATGGTTGATAAAGCCAGAGTAGAAGCACAGGTATTATTGGACATTTAAAGATTTATACCAGTTGTTCATGCAGGATACTACCTTGCCTGTGTTTTATTTAGAATCACTGGTTTACATACAACGAGCCAATGTCTGTGGAGAGTGTTACTCAAGCTGTGTCGAATTTAGCTTTAGAATTTGGTGATGATAATGCCAGATCTGGAGCAATGGTATGTATTTTAGTTTCTATCAAATGTATTGTTAGAGCTTGTAGTTACTACACATGTAAAAGTGCACGTCAAGTTGTTACAGGTCTGCAAACAAGTTGTTACAAAGCTGTTCACAAGCTGTCAACAAGTTGTGTTCGCACTGCTTGTTCCCAGTTGTCAGAAAAGGGTTTGGAACAAGCTGTTAACAACTTGTAACAAGCTTGATGGAATTATCAGACTTGTTACAAGGTTGTTCTAACAAGTCTGATACAGTCATGATATAACAAGAAAGTTACAAGTTTGATGACACAAGGATGTAACAATACTGTTATATATCATGACTGCATTGGACTTGTTGGAACCACCTTGTAACAAGTCTGATAATATCAACAAGGTTGTTACAAATTGTTAACAGCTTGTTGCAAACTTGTTGACAACTTGGGACAAGCAGAGCGAGGACAACTTGTTGACGGCTTGTTGGCAGACTTGCTACAAGATGCAAGACTTTTGTGTGTGTAGTTTCTAAGGTCAATGATTTCTCTGTGTATATAGAGTCGACCATTTGGTGTAGCATTAATGTTTGGTGGTTTTGATGAGCATGGACCTCAACTGTAAGTCAATTTTTGAAGATTTTAGTGTTACATTAATATTGTACCTACGTTTCTTGTTTCTTTGATTTAGGACATTTCAAATTAACTAACATTGATTGATAATATTGTCTTCATACAGAAAGATTTTTGTAACTATATTTAATCTGTTTTATCTAGATATCATCTTGACCCATCAGGAACATTTATTCGATACGAAGCCAAAGCAATTGGTAAAATATATATTATGCACAGTATGTTGTTGAAAATGAGTTTGATAGCTGAATTAACCATCTTTGTATTTTTTAGGGTCAGCTTCAGAAGGTGCCCAACAGTCTTTACAAGAAGTTTATCATAAAGTATGGGTGATTTTTTTGTAACTGCAGTGTGAAAATAGACGGATAGAGTGAACTCATCGAAACTTATATTTAAGTCTATCGATCTCTTTGAAAATTATAAACCAAAATATAGTTTTGTGTGTGCGTAATTTTTGGGTCATTTTAAGAAGGAATGTAATATACCTTTATAGTAAAAACCTCACCTTGATCAACATTTTCACTGTCAAAGTTTCGAGATATGGTGTCGCTCCATCAACTGCAAGTTAGGTTTTTGCTCCAAAAATTCATCTGATGACATCATACCTGGAAACTTTGACAGTGAAAAAGTTTATCAAGATGAAGTTTTTTACTCTTTATATATATTATATTTCTTTTCAGAATGACCCAAATATTACCCATATCAAAAATCATATTTGGGAATTGTACACATATGCAACTTTTCATTTTGAATTACTGATTAAATGTGTTTTCCAAATAATTTTACAGTCGATGACCTTGCAAGAAGCGTGTAAGCAAGCACTAACAATTCTCAAACAAGTTATGGAGGAAAAACTGAGTGCAACCAACGTTGAGGTATATATCGCAATAGTTTCGTATGATTCCTCCTTCTTTCAAGAAAGTGAACGTCTTTTAGGCAGATAGATAGAACTGTTAGAGAGCTAAGCCTGCTATAGCTCTGCTGATTGTGGTGTTGAACTCAGGTCTATAATTTTTTTGCTGATGCTACTCTGAGTGTCTCCGCACCGTGCTATAGCTGAAAAATTGATCGACCTCTGTGGGTAAGCCAAAGGTCGCGCTCGCTTTTGACTGCCCTGCCGTCAACTCCGTTGTGAATGCAGACTTGTAGTGACGTATTATGTACAGTAGTCTTTATTGTTGGGACTTATACCTCATTATTGGTATACTTAAGATTTATACGTCACTACGCCACTCCACGTCCGCATTCACAACGCAAGACTGAGCATCGCATGGTTTTAATAAACACCTATGGCTACAAAAACAGTCGCTAGAATATGTTCATGGTAACGCAATGAAATTTTATTGAATTTTAAACTATTTTAGTTTTTTCTGTGCCTATTACAAGTTTGCAACTATTGCGCCCTGTATTGGGCTCTGTGATACAAAACTCTCGTGCAAGTTAAATTGTACACCCCAAGATCAACGATCTACAGCTATTTCAATTAAGGTTGTCCCCGAGCAAAGCGGAAAAGTAGAATACCAGCGCGAAAGGCTGCTGGGAATCGCTATGAAAATTCATTAATTTTTTAGGGTTTCCCAGCAGCCTTTCGCGCTCGTATTCGATTTTTCCGCTTTGCTCGTGGACAACCTTAATTGAAATAGCTGTATGTTCAAAGATATAATGTTCAGTACTCCACGGTAGATACTTTTCACTTAAATACTTCAATTTCTCTGTTGTAGTTGTCTACAATCACCCGTGAAAATAAATTCAAGATGTTCGACAAGAAAGATATAGAAGATATAGTTAAAGATATCAAATAGACTTGATGAACATTTCCACAAACTTTCTAGGAGCTAGAGGGGTAGATTTTTGAAGTCTGTTAACATATTTTGGTATGGACAGTTTGGCTGTATGGATGGGTTTCATTGAGCACCGCTAACAGATGGTGGTCGACTGACTCGACTGGCAGTTGTCAAATTTGAAAAATAATGCTAGTTCTTTTCATGATGTGCCCTGTATCCTAGTGGAAAATAAAGGAGGGACACGAGTGTTCCTATAAATGGCCGTTGACCAGCATCTGCTACGCCATAACGCTCACTGAAACCCACCCTCAAATAAATTGTTACTGGACGTCAGTTGGAGCATAGCCTATAGAAGGGAAGATGGCTGTGAAATTCATTAGAATAACAATAGAACTCATTATCTTTGTTGGTGGGTTTGGCAAAAATACAATACATACGTGACGGTGAAGGACCAGATTTATGAATAAACGTTGACTAACATAGATGAGTTATATTGTTATTCTAATGAGCTTCACAGCCATCTTCCTTTCGATAGGCTAGGGTTTGAGTTACTGTGTGCTCAATACCTTACGTACTAAAATTATTAATTGGCCGCTTGCACGTTACGTCACGCCGGCCATGTTGGTGGTTTTCACTTAGGCAAAAATCTCACATCTTGTAGCAAGTCTGCCAACAAGCCGTCAGCAAGTTGTGTTCATACTGCTTGTCCCAAGTTGTCAACAAGTATGGAACAACTTGTTAACAGTTGTAACAACCTTGTTGGTATTATCAAAGTTGTTGCAAGGTTGTTCCCACCAATACAGTCATGATACATACAGTAACAATATTGTTACAATCTTGTCGTCAACATTGTAACATTCTTGTTAGGTCATGACTGTATCAGACTTCACTTGTCAGTGTTAGAACAACCTTGTAACAAGTCCAATAATGCCATGAAGCTTGTTACAAGTTTTAAGTTGTTAACAGCTTGTTCTAACCTTGTTAACACTGGTTTCCATACCATCTTTCTCATAAGCCGAAATATAACATTTTAGAACTGAAAATACGCGGAGTGATTATAACTAGAGAATACTTATGATTTATATGTGGTTTACAGGTATAAACTATTATAAACTGGCCGTTATACGAAAGATCGTGACTCTATTTTTACGATCATATGGAAACCAGGTGAACAAGCAGTGCGAACACAACTTGTGCTTGGACAGATTTGTAACAACTTGTTTACAGACCTGTAACAACTTGCTTGCGTTTTTACGTATGTATTTCAACAAAAGAATCTCATTGTCTGTCACTGAATTTGGCACTAACATACATGGACGCCGTCTTACTGTCTTTAATTCCTAAGAGATTGATTGTAATCCATCTATATACAGATTATGGTGATACAACTGACGTCCAATAACTCCTTCATTTCCTGTCATTTTTGTGTTGACTTGCAACACCCAACCTTAAACTTGATGAGTGTTGGCGCTCAAACGCGACAGTAACAACGATCTCATCCTCGTTTGACCTGGATGTACTCCATAGATACGAAATTTTTGCGACGAAACTAGACTCGAATTCAAATAAAGTTTGTATAAATGATATAGTTGTTGTGTTTTCTTATTTTCTTGAGAAATAGAACTTTTGTGTGAGAGTGTAACAATGTGACGTACTCCAGTTAGGAATTTTTTGTGAAGAAACGACTCCAATCCAGTAAAGCTTGTCTATAAATGATATAGTTGTTGTGTTGTCTTATTTTGTTGAGAAATAAAACTTTTGTGTTCGAGTGTGACAAACTAATACGTATTTTGATAAGAGCACTTGACCATTTCTATGACGATGATTTTATCAGCCCGGAGGCAATTTTTTCTACGTGTCGTATTCGGGATGAAAAATGTTCAAAACATAAAATCTTTCCAGCATATCTCTCAAAATTACCTTGTTTTAACTTTACTTTCTAGTTTATACAATAAGCTACCTTTTTTAAATGTCTTGTTGTTCAACCAATTTCGCCATCGTATTGACCCACTATTATACACTTATGTTACTGAATAAAACAGCTTTAAAGTACTGTAAAATCCATTCTCAAACTCATTAATAATTCATGAGTAAATTAGACAAGCATACAGCTTTATTTTGCTCACATGAGAGTACTGGATACTTGGTGAAGTGTATTGATCCAGTCCTAGGACTGGCTCAAAATGAATTCAATCCTTGGGCTGGATTAAAATTAATTCACCTCACTTTAAGTTTTGTGATTTATTCGTATGGGATGTCATTTCAAATCCTCCAATTCGAACTGGACTAGATTTCAAGTCCTCACATTTTGATTCAGTCAGCTCGGCTTCGCCTTGGACTGATCAAATTAGCCATTCCGAAGTTGATGAGTGAACTGGGGACGAGTGTTAAAGAGCACCCAAATTAAGAAATGAACTAAATCACAAAAAAGACCACCTCAAAATTAGTAAGTATACAAAGTTTGAAGACGTTTACATGATGAATACCCTTCGAATAATAAGCTTTCGAAAATTATGAAATTTCTGATTAAAAGATTGTTTTTGGGACGCGCGTCCCAAAAACAAAAATTGCAATACATTTCATAGTAAATATCGGATTTTCGAAAGCTTATTATTCGAAGGATATTCATGTAAACGTCTTCAAACTTGGTATACTTACTAATTTTGAGGTGGTCTTTTTAGTGATATGGTTCATTTCTTAATTTGGGCACTTTTTAACACTCGTCCCCACTCCACTCATCAACTTCGGAATGGCTAATTCGCGGACTTGAAATCTAGTCCAGTCCTCATAGTCGGGTTTGAAATCAGATTACGACAAATATTGGGGTGTTCACTGTCATGTACGTGGCCATAGGAAGCACTTAGTGTTGGAACGCTTAGATGTAAACGCTAGGAAATAAGCAGGAATTTAGTAAAGGAATCGTAGATGTTCCGTTTTTCAAGTTCTCTTCTATACTACCGCGAAACCAGTATCTTGCAGGAAAAAGTTCCATATAAACACGTCAGTTACTATATATAGCGGTGATGTGCTGGTTCCGAAAAGGGTCAGCACGAAGCTATAGGAACAAGTTTTGTGATTGATTGAACAATGAAACAAATAAAGCTGTGTATCACCATAGTTAATATATATGACATGGTTTGGAAACCTTTTGTTTTAGGTGATTGTGTACCTTGTGCAGGGTCACAGTTGAAAATCCTTTGTCTTTCTATTGTTTGACAATAGTCGGTTCAGAAAGCTTGGCGAAGGGAATGGGTACCAAGTATTTGTTTTGCCTACCAGGGCTATATATTACGGCATATTTTGCAAATAACGAAGTATTACCACCATTTTTCGATAGACAATGTTTATGCTACATCGTTTGGTCAATTCTCATTGATTAAAATCAATATGTGCAGGGTCAAACTGACTGTTCAACCTCCACGTTTGTTTATAGCGTAATTTCTTTGAAGTTTGCCGGGTTTCCTAACCAGGTATCATACAATGGGCTAATTACACATTCGCTTCACGTAAGTGGTTCGGCAAAGAACGGCAAACCCAGTTTTGCTAATTTCTCATTCAGTTTTCCTCCAAATTTCACAGTTCAGCCTTTTGAATGATGGTTTTCAAGGCGCATTTCAGTTTAACATTTTAAAACATTAGTTTATTGTTAAAAACATTGGAGTTTATACTGATCTTGTATTATGCATTACGGATCTTGTATTATGTATTATCCATAATTTATCAATTTGTCCTTGGGCAATGAATGTCCATTAGTTCCAAATATTCTCTAGATCTCCTGGTGGAGGTATTTAAACTACAGATTAAATTTTCTAAAGAACGATTCGCAAACACTGATCACTGTAGCCAACCAGGAAACATCTTCGCATTTACTGTCCGAGGGTCATAGAGGGTCAGCCAGAATCAGTGGATCAACCTAGTGCCAATGGTCTCACCTCCGCCCACAGCGGCTGTTAAGCCAGTGGCTTAAAGCCTGCTTTCCACTTAGGCGGAATTTTGCGCGCGGAACGGAATTTTTCTTTGTCTTGTGATTTCTCGGGTGGAACTAATTAGAAAAGATAAAGAAAAATTCCGTTCCGCGCGCAAAATTCCGCCTAGTGGAAAGCAGGCTTTCCGCGCGGAGCGGAATTTTTCTTTGTCTTATGATTTCTCGTGTGGAACTAATTAGAAAAGACAAAGAATAATTCCGCTCCTCGGCGGAAAATTCAGTGCTAGAGGTGAGTTGCATCGCCAAGATCATAATCAATATTGGTAATATTATATATAGCAGTTTTAGAAAATGTCTGGTGCAATGGATAGCCTACATTCCAATGTTCGGGACCCGATCATTGGAATGTTATTAATATTTCGTACCTTCCGAACTTTCTTGAATTGAATCTCCAGTCTGTATTCATTTACAAACATAGCGAACCAGAAGAGTGTTAAAAATTCAGTATATGATATATATCTAATCATATTTTACTAACTGTAGCACGCATACTGAGTTCAGAATGTAAACAAAGCGTTCGTTTACATTGCGGACTTTATACAGCATCTTTAAGTATTAATAGGTTAAAAATCGTAACATTGGTTCTTTTTCCTTTGAACGAAATTTCGGACTGCGAGCAGGCTATGGTCCTACTAGAATTTTAATCATCTATAGTGTCAAAATTCATCTGGTTAATTAAATTCCAATGCCCAATAATCAGCTGTGAAAAATCTGGTCCTGGAACACAATTATTGCGGGACTTTTTTTTTTTGGGGGGGGGGGCGTTCATGTTACGTTACACAGGGCCAATCCAACCTCGTACCCAGGACCTTTGCGCGGTTCAGAGGCTCTGGTGTGGGAAGCAGCCTCTGAACCGCGCAAAGGCCCTGGGTACGAGGTTGGGCCAACCCGGCCAACCTATACACCCAGCGACATTCAAAAGTTGCGTGCGCACTGACACGAGAAAACTTGAACGTGGTTCAGCACATGACATCCAAACACGTGGTTCCTGCAAACTGACAGAAAATGTTTGAGGTCGAGCAGTGACGTTCACTGCATACGAACTTCCGTTCTTGCCGAATTTACGTCATTTTTATCGAGTGACTGTCCTTCCTGAGGCCATTTTAATTTGCTGAAAGCATATGAAAGACTAATTTGTTGGTTTTTATATTTAGCCGTGATCAGTGCATGGGTTACACAAGTTGCAATCAGGTTAGGACCGGTTCAGACGGCCTACTTTTCACTATGTGCCGAAACGAACTTTCTTTATAAGTATTGCGTAATTCTGCCTTTCAAGCGGGGGCGAAACTGCTACTTCCTTTAACATATAAACTTTGAACAAATCTTTCTTTGTTAAATATATTAAAAACTTGAGTAAGGATCACTGAAGTACTAATTTTTTATCAAAAGTTTACAATTTTAGGGTTCAAACTTGGTTTTCTGGATAGTTATATAAGTATTTAGTTTCCTATTCACTGAATATCACACAAGTTTGAACGTGCCGAAAAAAACTTCCCACTTTGGCTCCAGAGATTACAGGGCATTTTTTAACTATATAACTGCTGGGGCATTTACCCCAGTAGGTCCTTTGCTTGCCCCAGTAGTGAAGCATGATTCTCAGATGAACTGGGCCCTTTTGATCATTAGTGAAAGATTAACCTTGTTGAAAAAGCTGCATCTGCCTACTTTCTCGTATCCTCTCATGACATTCTCGACATTAATTCCCTCTTATAAAAGTCAGCACAGACAGGGGCGGTGCTAAAAGTGGGTTGTGGGTGTGGAACAATAGTTGGCAAATTATCTAATACCAGTTGGATGAAAAGAAATACTAATTAACGTTTGAAATAGTAGGCAATATTTCACTTACACCCACTCCAATAGCGCCAGTGCTGCCCCTGAGCACAGAGTGATTTTTATGTACCCGTACAAACTGTGTGGGGAAAAGGCCCTTGATTGAGACTAAATGTCCAGACACACCGGGCGCGATTCGACAGCGCGACGCGATTTTTTAGTTTTTGAAAGTTAATAAAACAGCCAATGAGAGCAAATTTTGAAAGATATGCAGACCAAATAACTCAAAATGTTATAGCGCTAGTAAATAATTATCGGTCAGTGAAAAGCTTCAAAGTAATTATCGGTCAGTGAAAATCGAAAAATCGCGTCGCGTTGTCGAATCGCGTCCGGTGTGTCTGGACCTTTAAGGCTGACTAAGGCTGATCAGTCTTAATCAGCCTTAATCAGCCTTAATCAGTCTTAAGGCTGATTTCCACGGTTGCGTTTTTCGTACGCACGTACACGCACGTAAAACTTTGAATCCTTCTATTTTTTAAATATTTTGCAAACAAGTTAACAAATGCATACTAAAACTTGCGGAACACTAAATTCTGTTGCTTTATTTATTTGGTTTATTCATAAGTAACATTTAAACGGATTTAAAGTTTTACGTGCGTATACGTACGTATGAAAAACGTAACAGTGGAAATCAGCCTTAAAGCCACAGTTCAGCCTTTTGAATGATGGTTTTTAAGGCGCATTTCAACCCTTTTAATTGCAAAAACTAACTAGGAAAATCAATTATACACAATTCAAGATCAGTAAACTCGATGTTTTTAACAATAAAAATGTTTTAAAATGTTAAAAACATTACGTTTGCTGATCTTGAATTATGCTCAATTGATTTTCCTAGTTAGTTTTTTCAATTAAAAGGCCTGAAATGCGCCTTAAAAACCATTATTCAAAAGGTTGAACTGTGCCTTTAAGCCCCAGTAGTTGTAATTTCTTAAAAAATTAATGCCCTGCCTGAAAAAAGAACTTTATTAAACTGCTCTACGTTCCAGAAACATGTTTTATATTAAATTTCAAGTATAGTTGAAAGTTTGGCTCAGAGTTCCTTGTTGAAATACATCTATTTAGTGCTCGAAAATAAATGTCTTCCATATAGGCAGCATATTTCCCAAGTGCACAACCTCGTTGGTTATACATGCATGGTTGCCTTCAATTTGGCAGCCAACTGATTATCCGGTTCCAGTTCTTTTTAGAGTTCACTGGTCTAAGAAAAATACACCAATGCCGGTTTACAAATTTTATAATGAACTATTTTGAGACTGTTATTCTAACCATAACAATGAAAATTTTTGGAAATTTTGTAATATATTTATAGTGACGTCATTTGGGCACACTTTAGAAACGGCGCAGCTATTAAATACCAGAGGTACCCAATATACTGAATATAGGTCCTTGAGGGTTACACGATGTTATACTATTTGCATCTGTGTGACAGTGTGATTTTAAACTAGCACTACGAGATCGATGCTGAATTATTTTTTCTCTTCTAAAACCAGTGAGTGGGTAATCGCCTACAAAAGCGAATTACCATTTAAAACTAATGATTAAAACTACAATTAAAACTACCGTTTTAACAAGAGAGTTTCATTGCATTTATTTATAGCGTGGGTAATCGCAATATTTTAAACAACTGTGCCGCCTGTTACACAAAAGCACGATAGCCGTTACAATCGGAACTTCTCCAACTCACAAAGGAAGTGAAAAATTGTAGGTAGCGGGGGTTCGAATTAAATTCAACGGGGTCGGTATTGCGAATATGTTAATAATTAATAAGGTATGTCGTTTTATAGCCATTACGATGCTTAGGCTCCAAAGAACTTACAAGATTTGTATACTACAGTTACCTGGACAGTACCTATATTAAAGCTAGATCACTGAGTAAGGGACGACGGAACTCGTTGAAATTGTATTACGTTGTATATATTACTTGTATATACTCATTAAATTATGGGTGTCTGAATATAGAAGTCCAAGCTTTTGACTTGTCCGGCAATGTACTATGTTCTGACATTTAATTTTGAGGTTTGCTGATCCACGTCTCAAAAATACAGTTCGAGCTAACTGGGTAAATTTTGACAAAGGGAAAATTAAATGTGTTCGAGTTAGCCGGAGTTTCGTGTCAGCGGGGCTCTATTATATCGGACGGAAGCGATTTGCGACAGCTTAGATAGCCTTAAAACAATAACTCACACGCTGTAGAAGTGGTGTTCACACGCTACACAATGAAGCTTTTACCTTCCTATCTGAATGGAATGCTCAATTTCCTCGAGCCGATCAGGAATTAGATTTCTACTGCTCTGATTGTAAAGGAAATTTGGGCAAAACAATGAGCGCGCACTAGGAGTGGGAGCAGTTTCCCCCGAGAAAAATCGGGAAAAAATTGGGAGCGGTGAAAGGGGAGGTGGGTTTTCCCTGGAGAAAAATCTTCTCACGAGAAACCAAATTTCGAACTGTTATCAGTCAGCTCAGTCACCTTACAATTAAAACGGATATTTTGGTATTCATTTGAAATTTCCTGACGTCTGTTGGATTTATAGCCGGATTGGCGTCTTTCAAATCAACTAACACTCTTATTTGCTGGGCGTACACAGGGCCGGCAGGGGGGAGGGGGTATAACACCTACCAGTCAGCAGGTAGTCAGAAAAATATTGAATCCCAGTCGGCAAACTGACATGGATTTGGATAGGAAGAAAAAAATATATTTGAGTGACACCGATTAAAAATTACAAATGGTAGATATAAAATGTGGACAGATTTACGAAAATATTAGGGAGAATGGAACGAAAAACGATAGTGAACACAAAATAAGATTGACAAATATGTTTTAAGGGAAACGTTTTTGACGTTGTACCCCCCCCCCCCCAAACGCAAAATAAAATTAAGATATATTAATTAGTGGTTGTAGTGACTCGGCAAAATTTGCCTTGACACAAAATTCAGTTACACCTCATTCAAAGAGGTCTAACGCCGCCCCTGGGCGTACAAATTAATACATTACATGTATTATATCAATGATACTACGGCATGAGATTGAGTACGCGATATAGTTTTCACTACGAAATAACTCGGAAAGATAAACGCCAAAATTACAGTGACTTTCATCTTGGCGTTTAGGAAGGGGAAGGCAAAATAATTTTCTTTTGGTTTGCCTAAATCATGTAGTATAAAAGCTCATGTAATTTTTCCGACCCCTTCGTCTTAACTTCCCGACGAAAGGGCCTTCGCTCGCCAAACGTCGAATTTGTCTTTGTGTGTTTTCAGGTAGTTGCACTACCAACGAAAGCTTGTTATTATTCGCACTATCTGACACTGGCAAAGACAGTTCAAGGTTAAATCAGCATGCTTAGAATGTTTTGTTCTGAGGAAAAGATATTAAAGTCAGGTTTAATTAACTGCAGGGCACAACTTATGGCTATTGACATAGCCATAAGTGTTATCATTCTAAGAGTATCGATCCATCGAGTCACTACAGTTTGTTCCGCATGTTAGGCAAATATTTACTAAAAATGATCGTGCCCATGTCCACTGCCAATGTTTTCTACCTACGCAGGAAACCAACAGTTTGAGACTTAAGGTGGCGACTGGTTGGCAGCTCTCAAACGGCCGGGTTGGCCCGTGGCCACTCGATGCGTGGGGTACGGCTAATCGAAAAAAAAATAATATTGGTGATTTGAATCTTCACTGCACGGAATCCCGAGTGCGTTTTTGTGTCAAAAGTACTCCAGTGATTACTGTAAACGTAATTTAACGTATGAAAAGTTATAAACGTCTCTCATTATAGACATATATCACTGCAAGCATAACATAGGTAAACATATATACTGCAAAAAGTTAAAAGTATAATTGGTAAGCATATATACTACAAAAAATTTTGACTGAAAACTTATTGTATAGTAAAATCCCCGATCCCTGCTACTAACTCTTGACGAAGGGCCTTCCCTCGAAACGTCGAGTTTCTGGCTTTCTGCTTATAAGGAAGTAATATAACCACTCAGCACAGCATTTTCACATTGGTACTACCTACACTGGTACAGACAGTTTTAGTATAGTAAAATATACTTCAGTTGCACTCAAAATTGCACTCAAAATTTTGAGTAAAATTACTTAAATTTATACGAGCAAATTTACTCAAACTTTGAGTAAAATTTCAAATTCACTCAATGGACAATGTCACTGTTTTGGTTACCAATTTACTTTTCTGGAAAAAATTGATTAAATTTGATCATAAATTTGAGAATTTTTTTCAGTCATGCACTGACTCAGTCCTCTGGACTGGTACATTATTTTACTCAATTTCTTGAGTCAGTGTAATTGATGATATATACTTAAGTATATACGTCTATATGAAGCACGTTTATAACTTTCCTATTACTTTTGACACGTACAAACAATACACTCGAAATTCAAGAACTTGTTCTCCAGATGCAAATCAGTCAAGTGCCTTCAATACTTTCAATCATAAATTACCATATAAATGGTGCAATTTGGGTGCAACCGGATTAATTTGTTCCGTCTGCATGAATAATATTAAAAGCCAAACAAATAGCAGGAAAACTCATGACTTAATTTCAGTATGTAACATAAAGGACCGACTAATTTGGTTTCTAAACTTGAAGAAGCTATAATTTGCCTTTATTTTGGGGATATACTCATATTGTGATTGCCTAGTCAGATAGCTGTTTCACAGCGGATGAGGTAAGCGTAAAACTGTGTGTCGTCATCACCGGAAACCAGCAGGATATAAAGGGTCATTAACTTCGTCGGATAATCTGTTCAAAAGCTGAACATTTATCTGCAGTCAGTTATTGTTTATAATAACAGCTACACAGTCGGAGCTCGTGGTATCAGTATATTGAATTTTATTTGGTGAAGAATAGTTCTAACGATGTCGATAAAAACGTTAGCAAGAGCACTCAGTATAAAACGCGATAAAGGGATAACAAGTAAGTACATATATATTGATTATATCTCGGATTATATATTGGTATTCTATAGATAATAGGCTATAGCGCTATATCGATATAATTTCGAACAGCCAGTGATAGCACTAGTGTAAGTAGAAGAGATACAGTTGCCTGAAAAATACAAGGAAAATTTCGAGGTTTCGAGCGAATGCCCTTCGTTGGAAACTCAGTTGGAAACGTGGAATGCTTATACTTTTCAGGTCAAGCAATTACATGTGGGTATATGTATATTCATATATTGAATCGTTGATTGACCTTATATTTGGTGAATTGGGATAATATTAATTTGCTCCCGTAACAGTATCAGCGTATTAGGACATATAAAACGGTTACTGAATCCAACTGATATTTACCGTAGTTCAGTACTATAAATCCGAATTCTTTGTTAGACCGAGTGAAATTTACCATATATGCTGCACGCGTCCCTAAATAACGATCGTAGTAAATGGTCATAATTAGTTTGAACGCTCGGTGCTATTGTGTAGCTAGCAAGGATACGCAGAGACGGAAATACAAAAAAATATAAAAGAAAATATAAACAGGACTTGGACCGCAAGCGAAGGGCACTTCGGTCGGGAAGTTAGAGTTTTGGTAGCCTTACGTCATAGACTCGATTCAAGCTGGAGTCTAGTAGAGTCTATGACTATGACCTCTGGACTATGACTATATGACTATGACTATAGCATGTCGTAAGGCTTAGGGCTTTCGCTCGAAAACGTCGAAGTTTTTCAGGAGGTACAGTTGTATGGTAACTGTTTATAATTAGCTTATATAGCAGTATTGATAATATTTTAGAAAATGAGGCCAATACATCATAAATCATGATAGAGTAGAAATACATTTTGCTAGTCAAGTCTGCGGTCTAGACAAGGCGCGTTCTTTCGAGAACAATATTCGATGTCTCAATTTTATCTTTGTGACAGTTTAATTACGATGACTTGCAGGGTGAGACTGATGCGTTTGAATATTGTATATGCATTGATATCGGTAGCTCGAATAGCGCCATTTTGATAATATTGTAAAATATCAAATTCTCAAAACTTCAGTTACTTTTGTGGTGAATATCATCGAAAAATTCAACACTATTTAAGTAGCTACGAATACTCACTTCATTACTCCCATGGAACCAAATTTTGTTACATTATGGGTCAAAGGGAAAAGTTGAGATTCAATGAACAATGGTCAAACATTTTCGCTACTAGTTCGCTTAGAAATAGTATCAAAATTGCAGGCAACATCTTCAGAACAATATAAAGTTATCCTATGTGTACAAACGCTTTTATATACAGCGAAATAAACGTTTTTATACCGCTGTATAAAACGTACACATATTTTCGTGACTTAGTCTTAGAGAAAAATCACCTCTTGACAAATTCCGGGTGCCATCAAGTTTAGCTTGTCCTGTTTACGAAAGAGGGTTAAGTTTTGAAGCATGTAGTTTTACAAGCACGCGTGCAAAATCCACAGAAATATAAAGAAATATAAAAAAAAAATACGGCAGTCGATAATCGTCCTGGATTCAGACTTGAAATGTTTAAAAAGCTAAAGTTGAAAGACTATAAGCTATCGTCAAAAAACGTCGGCGAAAATGAGGATATGCTAGGAATTAAGTGAATGTTTGACTTCAAGTAGGAAATAATTGACAAATTTCTATTATATTGTTCTATTTATACAAAATCATTAATGTTACCATTGTTCTTTACATCTTGGAGATAAAGAGATATTAGGATTGCGTCATTTCGCATGACGGAACTAGCGGAAGGATACATCACTACGTTTTAGAGCCGGCTGTCTTGCTACAACTGGCTGAGACTTAAAATACATTTGGCTACCATACAGATATTTTTGCCGTGCATAAAAACAGGAAAACAGAACAGCGATGCCTGTTCAAAAAATAATTATATGTTGGAACTCAAGTGTCAAAAATTACAGTTTTCTTATACCTATATTCAGGCACTTTTCCTCGAAAATATTATCGACCCAGTAATGGCTAATTTTCTTAGTTTTGACAAGTAAAATCATCTGGCGTTGGTCCGTTAGAGAGAATTAGAATATATAACATAACAAAGTATACATTGTAGCTTTAAGTACTAGATAAAACATGAGCAGCCGATCTGTATCTGATAATGAAACTCGAGCTGAAGGCGAGAGTTTGTATATCAGATACAGATCGGATGCGAATGTTTTATCGTACTTAAAAAATGACCCATCTTATGAGTTCATTGGCGAAGTAATTTTAAAAATAAACATTGTCTATGTCGAGAAAATCAAAGCTGAACCTTATGTAAATCAGGACAAATTTGTATCCGATTTACAAACATTGATTAAACATTCATTTCTTTTGTATTTTGATTATTAATGAATTTTACGTTGGGGCATTGCATTATATTGCAGCTAAAATTAACCAAGGTCGGATTTTAAAAATTTGGCGGAAATTGTGGGGGATGCTGAAGAAATGAGGGGAGGTGCAACAGTCCTGGTGGACTGCCTCACTGCATGAGATGTTGGGCTGAGGCCAACTACGTACGTGACCTATGCATATACTATACATATATGTATTTACCTACTACATTGTATGTATTAGGGACCGGTCATTATTTATGGCGGGGGGTGGCACCGAAGAGAAAATGGTTGGGTAAACAAAATTTTGAGTGAGTAAAAGGTTGGGTAAATGAAAAACGAAACAGCTCAAAGGTTGGGTAATAGAAATTTATTGTCATTTCCAAAGCATGACTCACTCAAATATTGAAGACTGAAAACTCCAATGTCAACAGTCATATGTCAATACAATATGTGAATCAATCAGAGTCACTATCTTCATCATTTTCCGATTTATTGAGAGACAAATGGTGTCACCAAAGAAAGGAAATGTGCAGACAACATGAAACTTTAGACTGCAGAAAAGTCAGTGAATTTCACAAGCCGAACGTTATTAAACTCGTATCACAGAGTGGTAAAGGACATGTCTGACAACTGAATGACATCCTTTTGTAATGTTTTTGGCCAGGGGTGCGTATTTATTTTTTAAATGATACTTGAGGTTGGGTAATCAAATTTTTTATTTTTTAATGGTTGGGTCAGCAAAATTTTTGCCACGAAAAACATTTCTCTTCGGTGCCACCCCCCCCACCATAAATAATGACCGGTCCCTTATACAGATGTATCAATGATTCAAGAAGACTACAACTGTATGACGCTTTGGATTTTGCCCCTCGTTACAACACTATAAAGTTTCTTCCAAAACATTGCATTAATTAAAAGGGTACAATTTATACAGAGAATAAAAAGGGTATTGAAAAGGGTATTAAAAGTATAATTGTGTAAAATTAATTGAGAATATAAATTAGTTAAAAGTATAACACCACGTATAACGGCGACATTTTATAATTTTGTGGGTATGTGATGGTAAATTTACTCTGTAAATACTTAGTTTGTTCAGAAATATTGCTTTTCACATTGTTATGTATAATCGTTTACGAAAAATGACAGTACCCCAAAAATGGCGGCGTGAGAAAGGCTAATCAGTTGATACAGAGACGAATGACGATCACCTTTTGAATTTTATACTGAAAAACATTGCTACAACGCGTAGACCCTAAGGCAGCGTTTACACTGTACCGTTTTCGTAGCGTTCTCGTATTGTTCGAGAGAACTAGACTATTGTCTTGCGTTCCCTTGAGGATTAAGAACAATACGAGAACGCTACGCTACAAGAACAATATTAAGAACAATACGAGAACGCTACATACAAAATGTTGTAACAAACATTAAAAAATCATTAATAATTCACACGAAAAAATTTTGACTTCCGTCACCGCTACCCCTGTTAACCATCAGATGCATTTAATTTACCCACTTATAATAACCAACCAAATGCGTATAAAACCTGGTTAGTATAGTCAAGTCTCAACCTTTCTACAGTAACCGGACAAACGCCTTTGACAAAGGATTTTGGTCAAAATAAGAATGAACGTTAATTAAATCATTTCCTATTATATGTTTTACCGTAAGAAATTTATTTTTGGAAAGGTATTATTATAATATTCACTAATGGCACGCGAGTTAAGACAACTCTTTGAATTTAACAATACAAGCTGCCAAGTGGCTACCTTTTCCTTATATACGCCCACACTTCGAAATTTTGTTTCCAAACAATCTGAACTTCTAATATTGGCTTCATCTAGATTGTTACTAAATCTCGTGATTTTAATGACTTCTTGTTCTGATTCTAAAAATGACATCGTATATTGGGTTTCTTTTATCATAAAGAGCACTCGCCCTTCCGAAACCGCAAGACACATGACAACATGCTTGCCTACATATTATATATTTTATATTATAAAGTGTATAATATATTATTACTGACAGTACAAACTAGAAACTGTGTGGGGTTCAATGCACGAAGCCGTAGGCTGGACTGACGCTAGCCAAGTAAAGCGCGCAATTATTAGCCATTCCGAAGTTGATGAGTGGACTGGGGACGAGTGTTAAAAAGTGCCCAAATTAAGAAATGAACCAAATCACTAAAAAGACCACCTCAAAATTAATAAGTATACAAAGTTTGAAGACGTTTACATGAATACCCTTTGAATAATAAGCTTTTGAAAATCGTGATATTATTTACTATGAAATGTATTGTAATTTTTGTTTTTGGGACGCACGTCCCAAAAACAATCTTTTAATCAGTAATTTCACAATTTTCAAAAGCTTATTATTCGAACGGTATTCATGTAAACGTCTTCAAACTTTGTATACTTACTAATTTTGAGGTAGTCTTTTTAGTAATTTGGTTATTTCTTAATTTGGGCACTTTTTAATACTCGTCCCAGTCCTCTCATCAACTTCGGAATGGCTAATTGCGTTCGACGAAGGAGAACGCTTCCTAATCGTGACGTCACGGCTGGATGCTGTGTCCTTTTGAGATTTTTTGGATGTAACATTTGCCTCGCTTTCGTGTTCATGGCATTTGCCTCGGTTTCCGGTTTCGTGCGGCGTCTTTGTGTTCCCATGTGCTTTCCATATTTTGCGAAGACAGAAGGAGATTTTAGCTGTTGTTTTGGGGTTTTTCCTGCGGTTTAATGTAAGGTAATCGGTGGTGTTGTGTTATTTTTATTACACTTATCAAAGGTACTTACCAAAGCATCAAGAATTTGTCTTATGGTGTTTTATCGACTGGCAATCCGACATTTCAATTTGCTATCTTTTTAAATTGTCAGCTAGAGTTCACAGATTTAACTTGAGTTCGCTCTGCTTAATAAAGGGTTTGGATGCATGTCCAGTATATTCTCTTTGGTCATTGAATGTTGATGAAGTAAACGTTGTTAAGCATTTTAATTTGCAGAGCTGTGTCATAGAATAAAGATCTGTGGCTGTGTTGAAAAATACGAGTTTTAATTAAGCATGACAATTGACAAATAAATACACAAATCCCAGTTTGGCTATAGTATACTAGGTGGACATACAAATATACAAATCCCAGTAATTTTGTTGACACAATGAACCTAATCAGTAATCATAATATTCATAGACAAGCAGAGCGAAGTTTTACTGACGAATTCAGCTGTATTTTTCATGAACATTTCTTGCCATGTTTGACCCGTGCTACCAATGAAATTTCTGATGCTTTTATAAATTAGTCAGTTGGAACCTTTGTGTTTATATGGAAGCTGGGCTGGCCCGCTTAGTGAGACCATGGATAATAAAATAAATTTATTTTATTATCCATGGTGAGACAGCCTGGTAAGCGGGATGAATTTCTATTTCTCTTGTGTTAACAATTTTATTGTTTTGACAGTTGTTAAAAATAGCTTGTGGCGGTATCTTTGAATTTTCATCCCTGGAACCGGGCTAGCCTGCTTATGAGTATTATATGAAGAAATGTCCATCCCGGTATGCGAGATCTCACCTCTTTAAAGTGAGATATCGGCAACCGGGCCATCCCGCTTGTATTCAGCAAATAATAACAGCAACTTGCATTGGAATATTTTGTTCGCTTATAGTGAATATAGTGCCATATAACTGTGAAAGTTCACCTGGTGACTGCTTTTTTGCATCCTCAGGACATGGTCTTTATAAAAATCCTAATTTGCCATCTTGATATTCGTAGTGCAGGCATTACACATTTAATGCATAATCCTGAGTTATAAATAGAGGATATTACACGGCGGCATGAAGATATGACTTTTATCTTTGAGTGGTGAAAACAATATTTTATGAACGAGTTACGAACGAGTGCAGCGAGTGAGTAAAATATTGTTTTTAACACGAGAAGATAAAAGTCGTATCTTCAAGCCACCGTGTAATGTTCTGTTTATTATATAGTCCCAAGCAAAAAAATGTATAAATACTAAGTCATGTGATCGATATCTTCACTAGTGAAGATATGGGTATCTTCACTAGTGAAGATGGGGAAATATCTCACTGTGTATTTTTTGTATCTTACTCTCTACTATACTGTATAATAAATTGAAAATATTTTATGGGAAAATTATGTTGAAGAAATGTCACAACCTGGAACATGGTATCATTATCAAGCAGGAGCAAATGCTTTAAGCTGCACTATTCATATTACTGATTCCAGTCCAAATGCTAATGCAACCATTTTAAACCCTTTACACCAGGGGCACAAAATTCTATTTAGTTGAGTTGCAAGGCCTATAAACTCAAACTGAAGAAATGCTCATACCTCCAGCTCGCCTATAATTAGGGTTTATATCATAAACCAGGCAGGCAAATGGGGGTATTCAGGGCATTGCATTAATTTGCCTTGAGCAACATGTTGAAGAGCTTGCATCAGTTTTGCCAAGTCATCACAGGGTCTATTATTATAGTTAAGATAAAGGGTAAAGATAACACATTTAAGGATATTAAGGTCAGAAGTAAGAAAAAGTGCAACATGCATTAATGCTATATAAATGCTAGGGCTTTTGAGAAATAATCTACATTATAGTAATGTGACTATCAATCAACATTGCCGTAGAATCACTCCCTATTGGTAGTGTTCCATCTGATATGACAGTTGAGTATGAAAATGATACTTGGACACATGAAGTAATATCGCCTGATTTACAGTAGGCCCTTCCAGTGATAACATTGAAGACAAAGTTAATGTACAGTGTGACAACAGAAATGAATAGCTTTATGTGCCTGCCAGCCTGTGAAAAACAGTAAAAGAGAAGTAGATGCAAGGAGATATTTGGACACATGAAATAATATCGCCTGATTTACAGTAGGCCCTTCCAGTGATAACATTGAAGACAAAGTTAATGTACAATGTGACAACAGAAATAAATAGCGTATGCCAGCCTGTGAAAAACAGTAAAGAGAAGTAGATGCAATAAAAAATCAGTTGTTTCCAAATGATGGCATCCGGCCCACTTTTGATAACTACCCTATGGTGCAATAATAACATTTTGGACAACGTCTACTCTACACCGAACCTCTGTGACCGAACGCACTTCACTAATCTAAGATTATTACTAGTTGTAGTACTACACTGACAGCAAAAACGCCAGCAAAGAATATGATTTGTCTAAAATGGGATAGGATCCCACAAATAAAAATATTATTTCCTTTGAACCGACGATCTTAGGACCTGTTCATATGGGCAAAAGTTATCCCGGTTAGCGAGAAAACTTTTCGACAAGTTTACAAGCGAGATCTCGCCTTGGTATGAAAATAATATAAAAAGTTACACTGCGTTCATACGAGACAAAAAGTTTTCCCGTGTGCCGAGATCTCGCTTGTTGACAGGCGAGATCTCGGTGACCGGGATGTTTTTCCCATATGAACACAACTTTCCCGCTTAGCGGGATAACTTTCTGTCTTGTCAGCAACTTTTCAATTCAATTGATGTTCAGTGCCACGTCACAGCCGAAAACTTTACCCGGTAAGCGGGATAAACTTTCTCCATATGAACAGAACAAAAGTATTTGGCTAGTCGAAAAGTTTTCTCGTTAACCGGGATAACTACTCCCCATATGAACAGGCCCTTAGAGCTCGGTGAAAGGCAGCATTCACTAAACATTGTTTCATTTTATTTTTTTAGTCAAACCAAGTCCGAAAAAGACGCTGAACATTGTGATAGTGGGCGATGGAGATACCGGCAAAACGTGCCTGCTCATGGCGTTCAAGGGGCGACAATTTCCCGGGGACTATGTTCCCACCGTGTTTGAGACCTACACACGTGATATACGTGTCGAAGGCGAAATTATTGAACTTGGACTTTGGGATACCGCTGGTCAAGAAGGGTACGATCGCTTGCGCCCGATGGCGTACCCACATTGTGATTGCTTCGTAATATGCTACGCCGTTGATAACCCCGACTCGCTGTACAATGTGAAGGAAAAATGGCTCCCGGAATTAGAACACTTCTGCCCTGATGTGCCTAAAATTTTGGTTGCGACCAAAAAGGACATACGAAGGCGCACTCTGGCCATAATGGATATCCTGAACGGGAATACAGCGCCTAGTATAGTCAGTTATGAAGAAGGGATGTGTACGGCTGCTATGATAGGTGCGTCAAGATTTCTGGAGACATCGGCTCTGTGTAATGACGGTGTCACAGAGATGTTTAATCAGACCGCTAGGGTAGCTTTGGAAGAAAGGGAAAAACAGAAGGAAAAGAAGGCGAAAAAGAATGCTAGATGCTGTATAATGTGATGATTTATTGAGGGATGTTAAAACGTCGTCTGAGAGGAGAAAGATTGTTCCTTTAGATTATTCGGGGAAGAGTATGCAGTGCAAGTAATCTACGTTCTCTGCGAGACAACGCATGCGTTAACAATCTATAGAAACTGTATATATTAAGCGCATCAATATTCAGAGAATACAGTAAGCTGAGCTCTATATATATGTATTTGGAGTAATATATAGTACAATGAGCTCTGTATAATTATGTATACCTGGAGTAATGTATTTAACGTAAAGCGAAAGTGACGATCATAAAGTCAATGCATGTGAATAATTAATATTTATATTTTGTAGTTTTAAAATATTTTTGTAACATATATCGTATTTATATATTCAATGTTGAATAGTTACTTCATGTACAGACGTATAGTTAGCTAATTGTGTGCATTGGACTGTGTATATGTAATATGACATTATATTTATTATATAAATCCTGTAATTTATATTAAATAAAAGTAACAACAAAACAAATAAGCTTGTGATAAAGTTATATTCATTATCATATTAACGACAAATGCTTGCAGACCAACGAATCACGAATGAAATGATAATACCTTAGGCTCATTAGCATATGTGGCGCATTGGAGTAACTGGAACAAGGCAGAAGCAATGAATCTGATTTACACAAATTAAGAAGCTGCTTGTTTAATAAAAGTTGTACTATAGTCTAACATATAAATACCCCTATATAAATATTCTTGATTATATAGTACAAAATAAAATTAAGAGTAAGTTCTTTTAATCGAAAGGACACTGTTATGAGTTACACAGAGCCTGTTTCAGTGGCGGGCTAGTCATAGGCATAGCAACAGGTCATGCTATGCAAATTGTTCATAGTAATGATTTGCATTAATATTCAAACATTTCAGTAGAAATGTATTGTCTTTAACATGCAGACTTGTGAAGGTTTACTAACATAACATGACAGCTAGCTTCGCTACTGAGCACTGGCCTGTTTTTACATCCGTATATTTACATCTTGAAACTTTTTCCAAATCGCCTAATATCTTCATTGTCAGTCTTTCAAGAAAAAATCCATCAAAAACTCTATATATCTTGAGTTTGAAATCTACCAATCTATCGTCCTTTGAAATCTATATAAGAGTTCACTTTTCCTCTTTATTGTTCGCTTGTTCGCTTGTTAATAAAACCATCTGACTTTAATAAAATACCTTTGCTTTGTCGTTCCCTCTATTGGAAAAAGCGTCAGATCGACTATAGTCTATTTATTTTGCTGAGTGTCCTGGAAGTAAGCCACGAATCCCACCGCTGCTTCTCCGTCTACTGTTATGCTTCTCATCCTTAATATTTTTCAAAACAGCTTTAACTGCTTCTGCAAAAACACCGTTAACACCATTCTCGGAAAGAGCCGAACATTCCACGAAAGCATTCGCCCGCGATTCATCGGCTAAACACATGCCTTCCTCGTAATTTACAAACTTCTGCTGTGTGAGTCCATCAGAAGAACCGTTTGGGATTAGGCTAGCACGTGGTCGCGAATCTTGTTTCGTGCCCACGATAACAATAGGAGCACTCGGAGGGCCATATCTTTGAAGTTCCGGCAGCCAAACCTTCGATACATTCTCGAAGCTTTCCCGACTGTTCACCGAGTAACACACGATGAATGCGTGACAGGTCGGATACGCCAGCCTTCGGAGGCCATCGTATTTCGCTTCGCCAGAGGTATCCCAAAGACCCAGCTCGACTTTGTGGCCGTCAACCTTTAACTTGTGCGAGAAGGTTTGAAAAACGCCGGGTACTTCTTTGTCAGGTGACAGTTTTCCGTCTTTTAAGGCGCACAATAAAGACGTCTTCCCAGTTTGGCTGTCACCAACAGTCACCATGTTAAAAAAATCTTGAAAATCAATAGAAAGACAATTTATATACGTAAGTTTAAATGTGTATTAACGAAATTACCTTGAAGCCATGAAGGCTGAATTACGTAATTATTAACATTCATGATATCATAATTATTTTAACACTACTTATATAAAGATTAGTAGTAAGGGGCGAACCATTAGAAATCCCGGGGGGGGGGGGTATAAAATCTTTGCGGCACGATTTCTTTTTTTAGTCTCCGTCTCTGCAGAATTTTTTTTATGCATTTAACCTTTGCAAGAATTTTTTTCAAGACTATTTGCACTTTGCTGTTCGCTTGCACGAATTTTTTTCTCTGACGTAATGGCTGCGCGAATTTTTTCCCAGGCATTTTTCTTTGCACGAATTTTTTTTTTAATTTTCACTCCCCTCCCGGTATTTCTAATGGTCCGCCCCTAATTAAATAGAGGATATTACACGGCGGTGCGAAGAAATGACTTTTATCTTCGAGTGGTGAAAACAATATTTTACGAACGAGCGCAGCGAGTGAGTAAAATATTGTTTTTAACACAAGAAGATAAAAGTCATATCTTCAAGCCACCGTGTAATGTTCTGTTTATTATATAGTCCCAAGCAAAAAATTGTGAAATTTCACGCTCAAAAGCAAATTGGAAAAAGTCACGTGATCGATATCTTCACTAGTGAAGATATGGAAAATATCTCACTGTGTATTTTTCAGTATCTCACTCTCTACTATATAATAAAAATATTTAAAATCTTAACTATTCTAAAAATTCAAGGAATATACAGCTAATTCAAAAAAGGTTGTCCTTTGAAAAACCTTTAAACCTTAAACTCTAAGCGTGCAAAGCATAATGGGAGCATCATTTAATCGGTTTAGAAATTATGTATGGGGCCCATTTCTTAGAGACATGGTAACTATCTCATTACCGAAGAACAATTCATTCACAAATAGCTGCAATATTCAACTACTATAAGCTTCAAACTTGTGCTCCCATTGAGTTTAACGTTTTTCAAAGGACAACCTTAGCTTTTTATAATAGACCTTTCCCCTTTTGAGTGAAATTTTGATCTAGACAAGGTCTGGACAAAAACTTCATCACAGCTTGAAAGAGCATCACAAAATTAGCAATATTCCGACGTTTCGTTGCGAAATGTTGTAAAATGCTGATAATATAGCCTTGCGAGGTTTGCCGTTTTTCAGTCATTTCGTATTACAAATGGGAAATTGATAATCAGTTTGATCATCTGATTATCAATTTCCCGTTTGTAATGCAAAATGACTGAAAAATGGCAAACTTCGCAAGGCTATATTATCAGCATTTTACAACATTTCGCAACGAAACTTCGGAATATTACTAATTTTGTGATGCTCTTTCAAGCTGTGATGAAATTTTTGTCCAGGCATATCTAGATCAAAATTTCACTCATAACGGGAAAGGTCTATTGGCTGTATAAAAGAGTATGGAAACAACGGACACACAACTCTATATACTTTAACCCCTTACAGTCGTGCCAATAGAAGCGTTCCGAAAAATGTTGCCCAGTTCATTTCCTAACTTGAAGGAACACCTCTGAACAATTCCTTAAAATTTTGAAAATTTCTTTAAAAAGTTCCCAATTTCCGGTTTCATTGACCAATCAAATTTTATATTTTCTTTTTGGGCAATCTGATTGGTCAATGAAACAGGAAGTTAAGAACTTTTTAAGGAACTTATCAAATTGTTGAGGAATTGTTCAGAGGAACTCCTCGAAGTTAGGAAATGAACTGGTCAACATTTTTCGGAACGCTTCTATTGGCACGACTGTAAGTGGCAATGCACCCCGATGCGCCCTACTTTAGTATTTTACTCTGTCTAACGCCAGACGATTTTACTCGTCAAGTGGAGAGTGCTGCCACTCAATGGGTTAAGTAATAAGTAGATTAAATCTCGAAGGGTTTGTGCCACTGCAGGCAGGGCCAATGATAAGAAAGCTGCGTTTGGGATACAATTTCCTGAAAAATACAAGCGACGTTTCGAGCGAAGGCCCTTTCGTCGGTTTCTCTTCCCGATTTTTTTTTGACAATTTTTTAAAAAGAAGTGATTTTAACCGAGAAATTCGCGGAAAAGGTTTATGTAAATCAAGATAATTTTGTATATGTTGGCTACAACACCTCATTATACATTGATTTCTTCTGAATATTTTTTATTTTTTTTTCATAAATATGTAGACAGATAATTGCTTTGCTTTGACGTCAGTGCCTTTGTCTTGTAGCACAACAGCGCTTTAGCTGACAATGAAAGAAATGGCGAGATATACAATGCACAAACATTTTAACTTCCTAGCAACGCATTTCAGTTTACCAAACACACATTCCAACATGTTATTAAAATCACACTCAAAATAGCGTCTTTTCCACAATCATGTGTAAATATACCTCAAATTTGCGGATATGAAACTAATTAAATTAAATAACTAAATGGTTCCGCTTGATCATGGTAAAAAACCCACTATTAACAAGTAAAAAAAGCCGATAACTTAAGGGGGAGGGAGCCAGCCCACGTCAAAGATGATCCACTTTCATTTGTTGTTGAAAGAATTCGTAGATGGAAATTTCCAGTGGAATTTTTATACATTTATTCCACTTAAAACTAATTAAATTAAATAACTAAATGGTTCCGCTTGATCATGGTAAAAACCCCACTATTAACAAGTAAAAAAAGCCGATAACTTAAGGGGGAGGGAGCCAGCCCACGTCAAAGATGATCCACTTTCATTTGTTGTTGAAAGAATTCGTAGATGGAAATTTCCAGTGGAATTTTTATACATTTATTCCACTTAAAACTAATTAAATTAAATAACTAAATGGTTCCGCTTGATCATGGTAAAAACCCCACTATTAACAAGTAAAAAAAGCCGATAACTTAAGGGGGAGGGAGCCAGCCCACGTCAAAGATGATCCACTTTCATTTGTTGTTGAAAGAATTCGTAGATGGAAATTTCCAGTGGAATTTTTATACATTTATTCCACTTAAAACTAATTAAATTAAATAACTAAATGGTTCCGCTTGATCATGGTAAAAACCCCACTATTAACAAGTAAAAAAAGCCGATAACTTAAGGGGGAGGGAGCCAGCCCACGTCAAAGATGATCCACTTTCATTTGTTGTTGAAAGAATTCGTAGATGGAAATTTCCAGTGGAATTTTTATACATTTATTCCACTTAAAACTAATTAAATTAAATAACTAAATGGTTCCGCTTGATCATGGTAAAAACCCCACTATTAACAAGTAAAAAAAGCCGATAACTTAAGGGGGAGGGAGCCAGCCCACGTCAAAGATGATCCACTTTCATTTGTTGTTGAAAGAATTCGTAGATGGAAATTTCCAGTGGAATTTTTATACATTTATTCCACTTAACCAAAAGCAGTTGCGACAAATAACTGAGCTACAGAGAGACAGTTGTCGAGCTCTAACCAACTGAGCTACAGAGAGACAGTTGTCGAGCTCTAACCAACTGAGCTACAGAGAG